AACAATACTATGGAACATCTAGGTGGTTGGTAGTGGTGCTTTTTGCCAACTTATTAGATGGAAAGATTAAGGTAAAAGAGATATACCCATCAATACAAATTTGTAAAATACGTTACCATAAGATTTAAGATAATTAAAAACAATCACAGATCATGATTTTTTGATTGTGCTTGATTTAATGACTGATGCCAAAACTATAATGGTTAAAAAGTACATAACCCTGAATGTCAGTGCAGCAGTGGTTGCTAGTTAAGTACTTTCTTAACTTGGTCCTCTAGGACAACCTGAACTAAAAACAACATATTGCTAATTCATTCCTAGAGTTTCCTTGACTGGAAAGTAAATTGCCAAACATGAATAGAGGAGTGCTTCTGGTCATGATTTGACAGTGAATGATAGTGAATAATTAACACATTATATTATTTTGTACACAATCTGCCATACATACTTAAAGAGTAGTCCTCGGAAATTTTATTGAAGATGGTGAACTTAAAGCCATAAAAAAAACACAAGGGAAATAAATCTATGCAGGTAGAGATTAGAATCGTGATTTTGTGGAACACTGAGGAACCTGAGAAAGAGGGTCTCATCTGTGATTTCAAAGACATTAGGAATAATTAAATAGGCCTCTAAAGCTTGACAAAATACTTTGAAAGTTTGAATTTTTATTCATACAAAAAATGCAAGTAAGTCAGTTTGAAAACATGGAGAAACAATTTTGGGAAGTCTTGAGACAGTATAGCATTTACCTTACAAAGGACAGTTAATAGACCTTTCATCTTGGTCGATTTTACAAATTCAGAAATTATTTAATCCAGAAGTGAAGCTAGTGATTTAGCCACTATCAAATTGAAAAATGCTGGTTAATTCATATAAAGGTGTAACTTTCTTGAGAGCTTAAAGTATTCTTATTTCTGTTTTCAGCTAAGGCCTTCATTGACACATTGTACTTGCCATGTTCTAGGCCAGTTAAAGTCAACTAAAACACCCTAAAGATTTAGAGTGTAAATGATAAAGTAATTAAAGCTAAAAGAAATATATATTTCTCAGGAAAAAAAAAAAGAAACTGGGGCAAAAACCTAGAACTCTTAATTGCATATCTAGTCCATTGTAGCTGGCTAGGTTAGTGGTATCAAAAGTGAAAGCCAGATATATTTAAGGAGTATTTCTTCCAAGTGCTACCCACACTCTGGCTTTTGTCTAGAACAGCACTACCCAATAGACCTTCCTGTAAAGATGGTTGTCTTCTAGACCTGTGTGTCCACTAATAACAACAGCATGTGGTTATCAACCCCTTGAAATCTGGGGGGGGGGGGGGGGTGTGACTGTAGAAGTGAATTTTTAATTTTATCCAAATAATTAATTTTCCACAGCCACAAACAGCTAGTGACCACTGTAATGAAAGTGCTTCTCCCTTAATCTAGGATTCTTGCAAATACATTATAATGCCCCTCTGAACACTGATTCCAGTACCTTATTCTTTAAACTTTACTATGCTTACCTCTATGAACTTACCATGGTTTACCTATTCTATTCATTGGCTGGCAATTCATTTTAGATAGGTGGCTCTCTGGTGGTGGCTGAGATAAGGTTTTGTGTCATCATTTTCCTGCACTTCCAATTTTGTTTTTATAGACATTGTATGTATTCACTTTAACCACTGAAGACTGTTAAGAATATGAAGAAATCCATGTTGGCTGTCTAGGAAGATGCCTTTACAGGCATCTGGCCTTCCACAGTTGACTAGTCTTGGCTATTTCCTATTGGTCAAACCTCAGACAAAAGTAAACTAAATAAACCAATTCTTTTTAGGCTATTTGGCTGCCCTTTGTCATACCAGAGTATCTTGGAAGACAGAATGTTGAACATGGAATGAGAGCTAAGGTCTTAAATTTTTTTAAGTTGTACATGGACACAATACCTTTATTTATTTATGTGGTGCTGAGGATCCAACCCAGTGCCCCACGCATGAAAGGCAAGCACGCTACTACTGAACCCGAACCCCATCCCTACAACTGCCCTTTTATGTATCCATTCTTTCCCAGTTTTCTTGTGGTTATTTTAGACATTCAGTGTTTCTCCCCTACACCTTTCTAATGACAATTGGCCTTGCGTCTCATTTCAGATATGAATTCTCAGCTTCCTGACTGCAAGGAAGTTTTGGGTCACCGCCCACCCTCCACTTTGAGCAATAATGATCTACATTCAGTGATGGTTCAGAAAGTTCAATTACATGACAACAGTAGATGTCACATACTCGGTCACTCTAATACCCATTCTTCCCCTGCCTCGATCTCCTATGGGAAGTTGGAAGAGTTCTCCACTTGCTTTCTTCTCAGTGCAGGAGCTTTGCATGGTGGTCCACACTTCAATACAAATTATGCTGTCTGCGTAAGTTCTGGAAGCTATCATTTTTCTATTCACCTTAAGTGTAATGAAATTATAATTTGAAGACAGTAGGTGAAATTTATAGATTTTTTTCCAAGTTACCTGTACGGAGTTGGCTATATTTTATTGTCAGTAAGATGAAAA